AACTGAAGCATGATGAAGGCAAGATTACGTACTGATTTTCAACCACGTATGCGTAACCAGATAGCCACGTTACGAATTTATCTTTCGGCTTTCAGTTCTGTAGATCAAACATATCCAAGAATTTATGACACTTTCTTCTTTATTAGTAAGGAAGCCAGATGTAGAATGATGACAGGCTATCTACGTAGAAGGGCAGGGGGAAGGCGATTTTCCTATAATAAAAGAAAGACATAGAAACGAGGAAATCAGTATATGCGAAAAAGCATGCGAATTATCAATGTTTACCACGGTTTCATTAATCATTCCGTGGAACCCACCATTTAGAGAACGAATGATTTCAGAAGTCTCCCGTTGCTCAGCAAAATTTGAATCCTAGGGGTGAACAATCTGATCTCAACAATTCACTTCTGTATTACCTGTGTGAGATACGTGATGTCGTAGGTTAGTCAGGCAGTGATACAGAATAATAACGGTTGTGGTAGATACTTGGAATGACGACTGAGCAGCACACAGCCAGATTTACTTCAACGTCATTCGAACAATTCAGATTTTTCTAGAGTCTAGGTACTGAAAAATTAACCTAAGTGAACCAAAAAAACAACTCTACGATCACATCATCAAGGGAAACGTTACTCGCGCATGAAATAGTGTCACGCAAACTAACATAACATGGATAAAATCAGAGAAGGAAAGGTACAACGTCTAAGAAGTGAGTGACAACCCTGTGCCCAGCGGGAAATTCTTCTTTCGACGATGTGGATGCCAATGTATGGTATTTACTGAGCAGGTGAAAATGCAACGTACGTCTCCAAGATTCAGGGTTTTTTAAGGGCACATGATACTCAGTGTAATAGTAACAGTAAGCATCAAAACATCACGATTATATTACAATCAGAATTATTCGAAGACTGAGTAAAAACTACTTAACCAGCAGCATAGGCCATCGGGGCATAGCATAGGGCTATCCTGAAGAAAGTTCGTTAGAAACGAACACAAACGTCGGCACTAGTCAGTCACCTGATGGACCAAGTTATAA